GGTAAATAAAAACCCATTCACAACATCCAGACAAGTGAAGGGCTCTCTCCAGGAGGTGGGTGTATCATTGTCAAAGTCTACAATCAAGAGAAGACTTCACGAGAGCAATGACAGAGGGTTCACCACATGGTTTTAAACCATTCCTAAGCCTGAAGAATAGAAAAGCCAGATTAGATGTTTGCCAAAAAAACATCCAAAAAAGCCAGACCAGTTCTGGAAAAGCATTTTTTGGATGGATGAAACTAAGATTAATCTGTACCAGAATAATTGGAAGAAAAAAGTGTGAAGAAGGCTTGAAACAGCTCATGATCCAAAGCACACAACGTTATCTGTAAAACATGGTGGAGGCAGTGTGACGGCAAGGGCATGCATGGCTTCCAGTGGCACTGGGTCATTGGTGTTTATTGATGATGTGACAGAAGACAGAAGCAGCCATATGAATTCTGCAGTGTTAAGAGATATACTGTCAGCCCAGATTCAGCCAAATGCAGCAAAGGACGGCGCCTCAAAGTTGAAGGACAATGATCCAAAACACACTGCAAAAGCAACCCAGAAGCTTTTGAAGAAAAAGAAGTGGAATATTCTGTAATGGCCGAGTCAATCACCTGATCTCAACCCAATTGAGCATGCATTTCACTTGCTGAAGGAAAAACTAAAGGCAGAAAGACCCACAAACAAAGGACAACTGAAGACAGCTGCAGTTAGAGCCTGGCAAAGCATCAGAAAGGAGGAAACCCAGTCTTTGGTAATGTCCATGGGTTCCAGACTTCAGGAAGTCATTGCCAGTAAAGGATTCTCAACAAAATATTAAAAATTAACATTTTATTTATGGTTATATTTATTTTTCCAATTACATTTGAGCCCCTGAAATAGGAGGGACTGTGTATAAAAATGGTTGCAGTTCCTAAAATTTGTACTTGATATTTATGTTCAACCCCTTGAATTAAAGCTGAAAGTCTGCACTTCAAATTCATGTGGATTGTTTCGATGTATTCTGGTGGCATACAGAACCAAAAGTATGAAAACTGTTCCTGTGTCCAAATATTTTTCTCTGTTTTACTTATATTTTAAGGAAAGTGTGAGGGAATTAATTATGCCATTTACTATTTTTTTCATGTACTACAAATATAGATGTTGTAAACCAGATTGTTAGAAGAATCTATCAGGATGCAAATACAGGAGCTGCCATTACTGACTTGTTTTTTTTAAATTGCACATTCTGGAGATGTCATCCTGAGCTTTCCTTTCCTTCTTAATAGATCCACTTCACAGCTTGATTGCATCTTTATTGGCACAAATTAAAGGTTACAGTTAATTAGAATATGGGCCAATGACCATTCTCCGTGTTAGCCACAAGCTTTGCCAAGGCAATATGATGTCTACATGGCCTGAAACAGTTATGTGAATATCAGATTTCCAGACACTTCACTACCTGCATGCTAAAACTAGGTCAGTAGCTCTTTAAGTAGTAAAGCACAGATAAGGATGAAAGTCAAGAGAAGGCACTTTTAAAGAGACTGTCACCTTGCCCATCCTGCCCAAAGTCATAATAATTCTGCAAAGAGAATTCACCAGCTCCCCATATACTCACCTTACCTACCTTCACTTACACCTTGCCCTTCTGCAAAAATTAACTGTGTTGGAAAACTAGGGGAGTAATGACATCATCCTACTGGTCTCGTGATAGTGCTTGGGCCTAGCAACAGGCCTTTACAGAGAAAAAGGTAACTGGCTCCTTCAACCCTGAAAGTGCCTGATAATTTTGCTGGCTGAGAAGGAGAAGGATCTTTGAAGGAGTTCAGGTAAGGTACCCATGAGTGACTTGGGGTGCTCTTTGCAGAGGTGCTGTCACCCTGCTCAAAGGAGATATGTCAGCATTGGCAACTCTCACGTTTTAACCTAACAAGTTAATTGACAAAAGATCCTTGAAACTGGCTTAGGCTTTGAAGGCCTGATGGCCAGTAATAATTTTGTTACTCATTACACATTCCTGGAGTAGTTTGATGAAGCTAGCATATGCTATTATTGCATAGCAAGAACCACTAACTATAAGAGCCACCAATAATAGGGAATTCTGCCTTGTTTCAGGACGTCAACAGTCTCACAATGTTAGCTGTTTATTAGAAATGCTTTAATCTTTTCATTAAATACCCTTATATAAGTGAAAAAGATAGATAGGTATTTTACATTCTGTGTAAATGTAAAAACAGTTCTTTCTGCCTGTAAAGATGGGTAAACTTTACTGTAGACCAGGGGTCTCCAAACTTAACAAAGGGTCAATCTACTTTCCTTCAGACTTTAGGTAGGGTGGATTGTAGCCAGTGGGGGTAGAAAATGTCCCAGTCCCAGCATCAGTGAGAATAAACATGAGCTGAGGGTTGGTGGTCAGTAGGAGGAGGAGTAATGCCCCGTCATTGGTATCAGTGGAATAAATAGTGCCCCATTGTTGGCTTCAGTGGGAGGAAATAGTGCCCCATTGTTGGCGTCAGTGGGAGGAATAGTGCCCCGTTGTTGGCGTCAGTGGGAGGAATAGTACCCCGTTGTTGGCGTCAGTGGGAGGAATAGTGCCCTATTGTTGGCGTCAGTTGGAGGAATAGTGCCCCATTGTTGGCGTCAGTGGGAGGAATAGTGCCCCGTTGTTGGCGTCAGTGAGAGGAATAGTGCCCCGTTGTTGGTGTCAGTGGGAGGAATAGTGCCCCATTGTTGGCGTCAGTGGGAGGAATAGTGCCCCATTGTTGGCGTCAGTGGGAGGAATAGTGCCCCATTGTAGGTGTTAGTGGAATAAATAGTGCCCCATTGTTGGCGTCAGTGGGAGGAATAGTGCCCCATTGTTGGCGTCAGTGGGAGGAATAGTGCCCCATTGTTGGCGTCAGTGGGAGGAATAGTGCCCCATTGTTGGCGTCAGTGGGAGGAATAGTGCCCCATTGTTGGCGTCAGTGGGAGGAATAGTGCCCCATTGTTGGCGTCAGTGGGAGGAATAGTGCCGCATCGTTGGTGTCAGTGGGAGGAATAGTGCCCCATGTTGGTGTCAATGGGAGGAATAGTGCCCCATCGTTGGTGTCAGTGAGAGGAATAGTGCACAATCATTGGTGTCAGTGGGAGGAATAGTGCCCCCCCATCACTGATATTAATGGGAGGAATAATTCCCCATCATTAGTGTCAGTGGCAGGAATTATGCCCCACTGTTGGTTTCAGTGGGATAAATAGTGGGATAAATAGTGACTTATATCATTGGAAGGAATTGTGCCCCAAGGGCCAGATAAAGGCTAGCAAATCCAGCCACAGTTTGGAGACCACTGCTGTAGACACTTTCCTGTACAGATTCAATTGAGCCGTGGTTCTTAACCAGTGGTACATATATTACAGGGTATATCTCTGTTCGGTTCAGGTGGTACTTCTGCACCTTCTATAAAGTCATAACAGTTTAAACTTTTAACATATAATGAATTATATATTCAAGTCTAAGTTCACTTTGTAGAAAATAGTCTATGCAGTCAAGGGGTCCCAGTAGATAAACTAAACTGTGCAGCTTTGTAAAACATTCATTAATTTTATTGTCATACCTGTAAGTCAATTGGGCCCTTCCAGAAGCCTGGCTGAACATATGATGCCTGATGAAGGAGTCCTGAGAGACTTTGAAACGTTGCTCTTGCTGCTGTAACTATGTGATCACTTATTAAAGCTTTGGACACATACTGGAGATCCTCAGTGTGCTGATGACATTCTTCTCTTCTGCCTTTTTGTCTAGGATGAGAAAATTGTTGGTTTTTACTTCTGTAATGCTGGGAATGAGCTTCCAAGGCTTTTCATCTCACAGCAACAAGGCAGGATGTGGGGATTGCTACCTTTTTTTCATCAGGCTTCTTGGGGGGTTGAAGCCTACATATATGACAATAAAATTGATGAACATTTTTTTTATATCTACTGGGGCCCACTGACTGCAGTGCCGGTTTTCTGATGGACTGTTTAGGAAGATATTAGTAAGTAATAACCCCAGTTTCTGGTCCCTGCTTAAACTCCAGCCAATCTCCTACTTCTGCATCTCACTGGACTCAGTGTTAATAACGGTGAACTGTGTACCAGTCTTCTTCTACCCACTAGTAAATTTGAGAAGAGTGACTTTAATTAGATTAGACAATCCAAGTATACTGTAAGCACATAAATCTTTTGTGAACAGTATGTCATGATCAGGGGTCAGGCTCGAAGACCAGTTGCTATAGCAGTGGAAAGGCTCACCTGAAACCAGCAGGATAGGTACACAGGCAGGTCACCGTGGCGGAGGAGTGGGATCAGCCGAGGTGCGGAGTCTAACTACCAAACTGTGTTCACCAGAGCTCCAGATGGTGGAGATGGATTTTGCTGCATGTTAGCACCAGGTCGCGGTCCTCAGGATCACTCCACCAGGAGGTGAGCAAGCGGAGGTCCAGTAGCGTATAAGCAGGTAAGGATCAAACGGAAGCGTGGTCAGTAAACAAGCCAAGTAATGAGCAGTCACAGGTTGGGATCAGGCAGAAGTGTAGTCGAGAACAAGCCAAGGGTCAATAAAGAGTGGTAGCAAAATATGGATAATAGCAGAGATGACTAGGAGCAATATACTGGCTGGAGAGCACAATAATCTGGAAAACATGAAGTGCAGAGACATGGCTTATATCTGGACGTTCATGAGAGGAGCAAGGTGTTCAAGGTTCATGACAAACAAGGTCAAGGTAGGATCATCCAAATAATTGTCAAGGGAGCTGTCCAGCATTCCAGGTGTCTCAGCAAGAAGAAACATTGCCTCTCACAGCAGAAGGCCCAGGTTTGGACCCAGGCTCTGACACAGTAACTATATGAAAGTATCAAACCCTGAAAAATAATGGATCATTTGGATAAAGTGATAGGTAGAGGAAACTGGTGGTGTCAAGGAATCTTTTTCTGGTATCAAAAAATGGTCCCTAAAGATACCTGCGATTTTGTGCCAAACTATAAATAAGTCAAAAGTTAAAATATAAAATGCTGTAACCAGGGGTGGACTGACCATTTGGAAACTCGGGCATGGCCCGAGGGCCCGGGGTCAGTAAAGGGGCCCCATTAGATGCCCCTGGTACCTTTCTCTTAGGCTTTTTTGAGTTTGGGCAAGGACACAGGGGCCCCATGATCCCCTATTGCCCGGGGGGCCCCATGAGTTGTCAGTCCGCCCCTGGCTGTAACACATTTATAGTTTACAGATACAGATACAGTATAATTGTATTCCTTCTATTAGGTATGAACTTTCTAATTCTTCATCCTAAATTGCTGATGGAGAAGTAAAATGAAAATCCTCTGAATGGCAGTTGTTAGCATGCCATCTACTGGTGACAGCTCATATTGCATTTGTATTAGGCAGTCTGACTGACTATTTTCTTACTGATAAAAGTCAATTGAGTTCATTTCCAACAAAAATCTTTTGTATAAGTAGATTACAACTGTGAGTTCTTTATAAGTGTACTTATTCAAATTAGATTTTATAATCCTGTATAAATATTGACATAGAGTTTGTCATAATAGATTATAGCAAAGAAGCAATTATACTTAATTAGTTTATTTGAGCTTTTCATACTAGTTCAGCTTAGTTTAGTGAGACTTGATTAAAATGCATGTCATATTATGGAGATATACAGTATATTTTTCAACTGTTACTTAAAAGGGCCCATACTATGTTGGACATTAAACCAAGCCCAACACATTAGGTTAAAGCCTATCTAAACCCAAGCACAAAAATGTAATATAGTTCAACTTACGAATCATTAGGTGGCTGCATTTGTTTAATTTTTTTTCAAGCTGTATTCCCTATTATTGCTCCCAGAAGTCCTGTGAATACTAAAATTTCTGTCCCTGGGTGGGTACATTTTCTCCTCTGCTGTATCTTTGGAGGAAGCCATGGCTCTAAACATGTCTGCCTTTGTTCATTCTCATTACATGATGAACTGATAAGACTAGTAGTCTGCACCAAAAAAAGTGTGTGCTGTCTTTTCAGCTCACAGTGAGGGACAATAAAAGTGTCTTTCTGGCAAGAACAGCATGTATTTTCTGTACAAAAAATGGCCACTGCCCCAGTTTATAACTGGCCTTAACAGCAAGGAACACATGGACGGGTGACGCATGTCAAACAACAAAAGAGAAAAGTTCTCAGCTCAACTTGCCAGCCAGCTTGTAAACAAAACCAATTTAACCTGTCTAACAGTATGCATTAAAAACGGGTTTATTTAGCACACATTTGCAAATACATACATAAGCTACAGAGCCTCGTCACGGTACCCCCGATATTCTGTAGTCCTAACCAGGGGCGGACTGACAACTCATGGGGTCCCCGGGCAATAGGGGATCATGGGGCCCCTGCGTCCTTGCCCAAACTCAAAAAAGCCTATGAAAAAGGTACCATGGGCATCTCATGGGGCCCCCTACTGACCCCGGGCCCTCAGGCAGTGCCCGAGTTTCCAAATGGTCAGTCCGCCCCTGGTCCTAACTCTACAAATTTTGAGAGCCTTCATACTAGAGGCACATGTATTTAATGGATAGACCTTGGCAGGTGGACCTGAGGGAGCCCACCCCTCCTTAAAGGTACAGGAGTGCAACGGACACCCAACATGTAGCACAATGGCAGCTAGGGTGTCCAGTGCGTCCCCTCGCCAACAATTCAGTAGTACAAAAAATGGCCAATGCCCCAGTCTATAACTGGCATTCACAGCAAGGAACACATGGACGGGTGACGCATGTCAAACAAGAAAAAAGTTCCCAGCTCAACTTCTCAGCCAGCTTGCAAACAAAGCGAATTAACCTGTCTAACAGTATGCGTTAAAAGCAGGAGTTTAGTTAGCACACATTTGCAAATAAATACATAAGCTACAGAGCCACGTCATGGCACCCCAATATTCTGTAGTCCTAACTGTACAAATTTTGAGAGCCCCCATATTAGAGGCACATATACATGAGAGTATTCTTCTGTTTTTCTGTTCTGAGAGTGGTAAGTATCGTGATTCTCTAGCCAGAAAGAGAAAATACTTAAATTGTCAGAGCATTCCTATACTCCACCAAGTTCCCAGTTGCTGTATTTATTATCCCTGATAGCTATAATATATCTAGTAGATACCTTGAATACATCCAATTGGATGAACACTCACCAGATTGAAGGCCCATTCACGCCATTTATGGTGCAGGAAACACGATTCCTCCACAGCATGGGAATGCTCTGCCCTTGTTAGATGTGTGTGGGTGCCTTTAATTGTTAATGTTGGTGCTGAAGACTGCATTGGACTAACTGGATCAGTCACGGGTCATAGGTAGGTGGTTGCATGGGTGGGTAGGGAGAAGTCCCTCTAGTCAATTGTACCCAGTGGTGGATAGTAGCAGTAAACCTTCATAGGGTTTGGGCTGCTGCCTTTCTGGTATGGCCTTGAGGTCATTTCCACACGTATACTTGGAATAGTAAAAAAGGAGTGCCCGATGTCCAAAAGAATGCACTTTTGATAGTAGATTAGGAGGCATTTATTGAGAGTAACGACAAGTACATCAAGCCAATGCGTTTTGGGAGAAAAAAACACTCCCTTCTTCAGGGCAGTTGCTGCATGCTATTAAATGGGAAAAATTCCCACGGCGGTTATATATATCCCAGGTTTTGGAGGAAAAAATGACAGAGTGTCCGCTGTCATTTCAGGGGCAGCAATTAATTGTTAATAGCACTCCAGCGCATCTAGCAAACACCTGTGTGTTTGCAGCCACAAAAACGCATGGTACTGCAGTACTATGTGGTTTGTTGTGCACAATTTTAAAAATCACACCTGCTGTACATTTTGCACTTTCCTGTGTTTGGCAGCCCATTAAAATGAAGGGACTATCACAGGGGCGGACTGACCATTTGGAAACCCGGGCACTGCCCGAGGGCCCGGGGTCAGTTGGGGGCCCCATGAGATGCCCCTGGTACCTTTTTTGGGCAAGGACACAGGGGCCCCATGATCCCCTGTTGCCCGGGGGCCCCATGAGTTGTCAGTCCACCCCTGGACTGTCAAAAACCCACAAAGCGAGAAAATACAAAGAAGTACCTATACGACCACACACATTCTGTAGTGAACTGGCCATCTGCGCTTTTTTGATGTTCCACGTGCAGATATTACCATTCATATGGTCACCATTATGCAGGTGTAGATTGAGAAGTCAAAAGATCTCATAGTGTAAATCCTTTTCTAATTAAAATCAAAATAAAATATAAAATATTGTCCAAATGGATGTATTCAATCACAACATGATTTTGGCAAGATTGGAATGAAGGAGAAAATGGAATACCACAGAGCATGTTTTCTACAAATTGTGTTTTCACATCATCTGGAATGACCTGATAGATTTGGTATGCTATTCAGTCAGGAAATTGGATTGATATAGTTTGTTCTATGTTGCACTGGTCACATTATAAAATGGTGTTTGCACACAGGGACTAACACGGCTTGTCACATTTGATTGCTTTATTGCATTTCTGGGTAGGCGGGCAAATAGCTTACAGGTGGGTGGAGCTAGGGGGAGGACGTCACCACGCATGTGCGTACGTTTGTGGCCATCTTGAAAGTGGGCACACGCAGCTTTTTGCTATTTGTACAGCGCTGTTTTGTATCTTCTTACATGTAAGTGCAATATTTTGATTTTAATAAACGTTGTAAAGGATTTTAGACTATGGGAAGCTTTTTTATTCCATCTATATGCCCACTACACTCTTGATGTTGATGAATCATGTGGAGTCTGCAAATGTCTTCTTATACAAATCTGGAGGCTGTGGAGGAGGTTGGAGCGATTGCCTTTTGATCACCTAGTATATGCCTTATCTGATCACTCTATAACATGATGGTCAAATGTTTCGGGTAAGCCTCCCTTGAGCACGGTGTGGGGTGACACGTATTGCACTTGATTGTATTTGGTCACTTTCATATTTTGATCATTTATGATTGCACCCAAGGACATTTCACATCGAGTGGGGTGGAAAAAGCTGCACTTGGATATACGAGAACATGTCCTGTGATTGACGATTGTTATCACATTAAATTACTTTTGCACCACGTTTTTCTGCACCTGAGTTTTTTTGTTGATTTATACAATTGTAGTTATTATTCACATTGTAAGCGCTGCACTTTTTTAAACTTATATTTTGGATTCTTTGCATCTGTATATAGTGCTGGCGGCTTTTGTTTAATTTGAAACAGCGCAGATTCTGATGCTACCTTATAAATAGCTTACAGGTATGACAAAAAAAAATGAACATTTTACAAGGCTGCACAGTATTTTTAATATCTACTGGAGCCCCCTGACTGCATTGGCTGTTTTCTGGAAAAGACTTAGCCTTTAAAAAGATATTAATCAGCAAGCAATAACTTTTCACAGAAACTGGAAAGACCTAATACATTTTTTATGTTACAGAATCAGTAGAATAGATTGAGAGTTTTTTTCTATGTTGCACTGGTCACTTTATAAGATGGTTTTTGCATACAAGGACTAAGGCTTGTCACATTTGACTGCTTTATTGCACTTTATCTTGTAGTTACATTTATTATTGTTCAATTCTTAGCACTGTATACCAATTTTTAAAGTATACCAGAAAGAGAGAGCAAGGGGAAAGCAGTTAGCACAGGAGAGTTGTCAGACGATGAAGCCAAGGTCAGGGCAGATAGCATCAACAAATGCTTAAAAGCCAAATTGAAGACTGATGCATCACTATATAGTCAGTAATAAGCCAGTGCCAGCAATATAGGACAGTTCGGCAATCAAATCAAGCCAACAGTCAGAGAATCAGTTTAAGGAATGAGCCAGTTTAGGTCTGAAAGTCATCAACAACAGCTAGATAGCAGGATAAAGGTATAGACTCTTCTAAGTCTGGACAACATTCCTGCAACACAAATATACACAAAGTAAAACTGGAGTGGAAACCGAATAAACTATCAGTTATCATGTTTAAAGATTGGAGGCAACAGGGCCACCTGGAGAAAATCCACAAAGATATGGGGAGAACTTGCAAACTCCATGCATTTAGTGTCCATGATCAGTCTGGAACCCACAAGCTAGATTCACAAAGCTTGATAACACAAGCTTTAAATTGTATAATGAGAGCACATCTAGGTGTTGCAGTGCACCAGTTCACCTATTTCCTTTTGTTTATAACCCGACTATCTGGGAATCCCATTGTTTTACTATTTGAAATTCAGGAGAGATACAGTGAATATAAAAAGTCTACACATCCCTGTTAAAATGTCAGGTTTCTGTAAAAAAAAAGAGACAAAGAAAAATCATTTAGGAACTTTTTCCACCTTTAATGTGACCTATAAACTGTACAACTCAGTTGAACAACAAACTGAAATATTTTAGGGGGAGGAAAGTAAAAATAAAAAAACTAAAATAATATGGTTGCATAAGTGTGCACACCCTTAAACTAATACTTTGTTGAAGCACCTTTTGATTTTATTCTACCGCTCAGTCTTTTTGGGTACGGGTCTATCAGCATGGCATATCTTGACTTGCCAATATTTACCCACTTTGCAAAAACACTCCAAATCTGTCAGATTGTGAAGGCATCTCCTGTGCACAGCCCTCTTCCGATAACTCCACAGATTTTCAATCAGATTCAGGTCTGGGCCATTTCAAAATTTTAGTCTTCTTCTGGTGAAGCCATTCCTTTATTGATTTGGATGTATGCTTTGGATCTTTTTCATGCTGAAAGATGAAGTTTCTCTTCATGTTCAGCTTTTTAGCAGAAGCCTGAAGGTTTTGTGTCAATATTGACTGGTATTTGGAACTGTTCATAATTCCCTCTACCTTGACTAAGGCCCCAGTTTCAGCTGAAGAAAAACAGCCCCAAAGCATGATGCTGCCACCTCCATGCTTAACTGTGGGTATGGTGTTCTTTTGGGGATGTGCAAGTGTTGTTTTTGTGCCAAACATATCTTTTGGAATTATGGCCAAAAAGTTCAACGTTGGTTTCATCAAACCATAACACATTTTCCCACGTGCTTTTGGGAGACTTCAGGTGTGTGTTTGCAAAATTTAGCTAGGCTTGGATGTTTTTCTTCGTAAGAAAAGGCTTGCCACTCTACCCCATAGCCCAGACATATGAAGAATACTGGAGATTGTTGTCACATGTACCACACACCAGTACTTGCCAGATATTCCTGCAGCTCCTTTAATGTTTCTGTAGGCCTCTTAGCAGCCTCCCAGATCAGTTTTCTTCTCATCAATTTTGGAGGGAGGTCCAGTTCTTGGTAATGTCACTGTTGTGCCATATTTTCTCTACTTGATGATGACTGTCTTCACTGTGTTCCATGGTATATCTAATGCCTTGGAAATTCTTTTGTACCCTTCTCCTGACTGATACCTTTTAAGAATGAGATCCCTATGATGCTTAGGAAGCTCTCTATGGACCATGGCTTTTGCTGTAGGATGTGACTAAGAAAATGTCATGAAAGACCTACTAGAACAGCAGAACTTTATTTGGGTTTATTCAGAAGCACATTAAATGAATGCAGGTGTGTACTGACTCCTATTTAACATGATTTTGAA